ATGTACCGCTATAAGCCATAAAATCCTAGTAGCTATGCTTTTATTGAAGAATTTTTTAATTTTGAAAGTCCAAAATCTTAAATTCGCCATATCTCCGTAAATAATGCAGATACGGCAAAAAGGGCGATATTTCGTGATCATTAGAATTAAAAAAAAGAATTAATTTTTTATTTGTAGGAAATCAGCCTCGTCAAACAACTGAAAACCATTGCTGATGCCTTAACATCTCATAGGTTAGCTTGATGTACCGTTATGAGCCGTAGGATCGTAGTGGCTATGCTTTTATAAAGGAATTTTCGAATTTTCAAAGTCCAGAGTCTTAGATTCACCATATCTCCGTAAATAATGCAGATACGGCAAAAAGGGCGATATTTCGTGATCATCGAAAATGAAAAAATAATAATTTTTTATTTGTAGGAAATCGGCCTCATGGAACAACTAAAAACCATTGCTGATGCCTTAATATCTTATAGGTTAGCTTGATGTACAGTTATGAGCCATAAAATCATAGTAGCTATGATTTTATATAAGAATTTTTCAATTTGAAAGTCTAAAATCTTAAATTCGCCATATCTCTGTAAATAATGCAGATACGGCGAAAAGAGCGATATTTAGTGATCATTAAAATAAAAATTTAATTAATCCCCGGTTCGCATGTGTATCGCCAAAAAAAAAAACCGAAACCTGTTGCTGACGCTCTATCGTCCTATAGGTCAGCTTAACATTTACTCATGAGTCATGAAAATGTAATTGCCATGCTTTTCATTAGAAATTTCTGTCGTTTTAAAGACCAAAATGTAAAATTTACCATATCTTCGTAAATATTGCATCTTCGGCGAAAAGGGCGATATTTCGTGATCATCAAAAATAACAAAAAATTAATTCTTTTATTTTAGGTGTCTTGAATCTTGAATTAATGAAAAGTCGTTGCTGATGCTTGGATACGCGTTATTATCATATTAGATAGCTAAATATCTTAAAATAAGCACGCGAACAGAGGTGGATATTCTCAAAATTTTAACTTGTCATGTTGATAACGATAAAGATATTAAGATCGCCGTATTTTTAAAAAAATGCAGGTATGACAAAAAGGACTATAATTTGTGGTTATAAAATTTTGACAAACATAATTTACTTAACTACGGGCTTTTTTTCTTTTATAACAACTACAGATCGTCGACGACGCTTTATTATCATACTGCATAGCTTAATATGCTAGACTGAGCATGAGGGATATTCTTATAATTTGAGTTTTTTTATAGAATAGTCAAGAACTAAGTGTTCTGCATCTTCTTAAAATATGCACATATGGAAAAAATGACGGTACTTGGTGATTGAACGTCATTCCTTGATTGCGAAAATCGAAGAAAATTTGTTTTTGCCGATGGGATTATTATGGGGATTATTCCATTCCTATAAGAAAACAGACTCACCTTCGTGAACTATGTGCTCCGTGCATACTTTTGGGGAAATGGTGAAACGACACGTACGTTTGCAAAGGAAAGTGGTGAAACCCGACGCGTTAATTGTTAAGCGTTTTACAAAACGAGGCAAAAACCTTTGACGCCACCACCTGTATTGTTGTCGTTGCCGCAGCAGTACGTTTTTTATGCAAGCGAGACGTAAGTACACAAGCAAGCGTGTACGGGTGCGCGCAAGTGCAGGGGAAACGCAAGACGGATGGGAGAGGCGTGTGAAGAAGTGCGCACTGTTTGCGGAGTTTACAATGACAGTAGTAAAAAAAAGTGCAGCTCTGTATCTACAGTGTGACCGAGCATCCCATTTTTTTTGATCCTCGGCCTCATCGAAGTACGCGGTGGAAGGAGGAATTTAGGAAAGTTCTTGCTTCAGTCTCGCTGCAGCGTCGCGGAGAGCTTTACCAATCCCTTTCCAGCGAGTGTTTATACCGAGTGTCGCTAATATACTTAATATAGGCTTACCAGCTTTTCTCTTTCTCCATCTGTTGTTGCGGCTGCTGCTCGCGATGTGACTATATTACGCACACCCTCCCCCTTCCTCCCACCTGGTCTAAACGCCCTCATCTATCACGAGCAGCCGGAAAGTCCGGTTGATTTCATGCTAATTCCCCCTTCCCCCTCCAGCTACGACGGCGCTTGAATCTGATACAGATACACTTTCAGCCGCTCACTTTTCCTAATCCTCTCCCTCTCTTCGTTACTTTTTTTTTTTTTTTTTTTTTTTTTTTTCGTTTACGACTCGCCACTTGCGTTACTTTTAGTTTCTACAGCTGTAGGTGTCTTTGTCTCTTTATTTTTCTCCCTCTTCTCTCGGTCACTCCCTGGCCAGCGATTTATCATCACTATTCTGACAAATATGTCCCGGAAGCTTGTGATACCTGTGTAAAATGGTACTTTAAATTTTTCATACCTATGATGCCGAATTTATAGCAGCAGTACCATCAAATTAATTCCATCTGTACTATATTTTGAGAACTTTTACAACTAAGACAGGTACGTTAATGAGTATTGCCGAGAAAAGTGGTCTAGGAGAATCGCATAAAAAGTTTGGCGGTAAAACTTTGAATATTTGATTGATATATATACTCGGCAGATTTTATTTAGTATTTTATAGCCCGACTCTTTTGAATTCTAGGTGTTGCTAAAAAAAATGTGTAAGTTTTGAAATTGATAGGAATAAGAAATGACATTTCTTCAGTCGTTAAAATCTGCATCGAAAGAAGTTGAAATTTTAGCATTTGAGTAATCATGAATTATCTTAAAGTACAGTTGTTTTAAATTTCAAAAAAATTTTTGAGCTATAAAATATTGATTGTACAGAGCAACTATGTGGTACCTGTCTTTTTTCTAACATATACATTTCGTAAACCTCAAGCCTCAAATAATTATTATAGAAATTGTCCCTGATAATGAATAATTTCCATTCAGAAAGGGCTGTAATGAATAAAGAAATGTGATATTTCAAGAAAATATTATTTACCGCCATCACGCTACATAGTATAATATTAATACTTTATATAGATGTTGATACTGATAAATGAATATTACTTTCTTCGGTTGTAAAAAATATTTTGTCGGATAGCTTCAAAAAGTAAAAAAAGTTATTTAACACTCGTACATGTGTTTATGTTTATGAGATAATATTACACGGATGATGTGACTGTTCAACCTCTTCACATCTACTTTTGGGAATCAAAGGGAGATGAACTGACATAAAAATTTTAGAATGCTTTCAGTTCCAAATTCACAAAATCTATTTCGTACGATTCCAGATGAATTCCAGCGTTTGTTGAATAGTTACTGAAATTTAAAAGAATATTATTCAGTTGTCTTCTTGTTTATTGATTACTTTTTCAAGTGATTTTTGTCCCTTTCAAAATTATAAGAATATTTTTTTTTTAATACTGAAAAACTAATTTTATATAAAGATTAAATCTTGACGAGCACAGTCTACGTATAAAAGAAAAGTTTTAGCAACAACAAATGCTTTTATGTCCGTGAAAAAAAAAAAAATCAAATAACTACAAAAAGTGATGTAAAATATTACGATTTGGTACCCGAATAAAAAAATTTCAATAAATTGAAAAAAACCGTAGTTTTGTACACTGTAATTACACATTTTGATGTATTCAAAAATACATCAGCACTTCTTTATCTTGTATTTGCAAAATTGGAATAACACACAGTTAAACACTCTTGCGAATACGAACAGCTGTAACGTTATATGATTACATTATTATTTTTTTTTTGTCAAAATAATTTTATAATTTGTGAAGGTATGTAAAAACATAAATAAGGAATATAGTTATGTTAAATTTATCTAATTAGGTGTCGTTGTAATTGTTTTCAGTTTTCATTTTTTAAAGATTAAAAATGTGTATTTACAATATTAAAAATTATAACAATAATCTTGACTTTTCTAAAACGTTAGTTATCGATTTGGTTGATATTTACTAAATTCTTTGCTAAAAAATTTAAACGTGAAGCAAAGCATCAAGCTATTGTTAGTATAGCTATTTATTAGAAAATTTAAGTTTAATAATGATGGAGCGCCATCTATGCATTATCGCATGAAGGTGTGGGGTAAGGCAGATTTCAACATTATCTAATGTTTTCAAAGAAAATTATTATTTTGTTTCAAGAAAAAATATTTAGTTTTTTTGACGAGTCACTTGACAAAAGTAAAAATAATTAACAACCAAGTATTTAAAATAGTAATTACTTAAAATAACATACTTTAATGACAATTTCTCTACTTTAATAGTGTAAAGAGCCTGGAAAAGTCAAGGAAGTAGCAATGGGCAGAAAAAACATTTAGGAAATAAAAATTTTTTTCTATCACTCTTCAATATTCATGGATGTATTGTGGAAGGTACTATACAATATTTATATAATAATTATATCTACTATGCATTAGTTACAGCTGTAAGTACGTAACCATTAAAAACATGTCATCTACATAGGAAAAGAGATAAAGAAGTATTTTAAGAACACGTACCGTGACATTTAAAAATATCACATAAAAACTTGTGTGATCTTATATTAATGAATTTTGCAAAAATGTAAACAATCGTTCAAAAGTAATTTCGAGCAGACAATAATTTCACCCTTTTGTTTATTTTTTTACTTATTTTATGGGTACGATTCGTAGCAATGTACATGAAACGATGTTGGTGCTTATTGTTTTATTTTTGTTAAAATAATGAAAGTATTATTACAAGTTTGTGACGCACCGACAACAAATTGCAAAGTTTCTTGTGTGAAACTTTTCAAAAAACTTCAACTTTCTAGACTCTGTAAATAATATTCACATTTTTGTGTATATATTGCTCGCGATGTGACTATATTACGCACACCCTCCCCCTTCCTCCCACCTGGTCTAAACGCCCTCATCTATCACGAGCAGCCGGAAAGTCCGGTTGATTTCATGCTAATTCCCCCTTCCCCCTCCAGCTACGACGGCGCTTGAATCTGATACAGATACACTTTCAGCCGCTCACTTTTCCTAATCCTCTCCCNTTATTTTTTTTTATTTTCATCCCTAACGCTACAATCGTCCTCTCCAATGCTTTGGCTTCACTTGACTAAGATAATTTTAAACAACAATTTATTCAGCCAACGCGATTGGTAAGGTTTCTTTGTTTGTATTCCGTCGCTATTTCGTTGTCGAATCATCCCTATCTGTTTTATTTTTCTATTTTTCTATTTTAAGAATAACAAAATAACCAAGTCACGTAACCATCATCAGGAACGAACCACAATTGTTCCCGTCAATCAACAACAAGTCCATCCACATCCGTCAGATTGACCGTACACAGTTAACATGAAATATACATATGTAATAATAATAATAATAATAATAATAATAATAAAAATAAAAAAACTTCGAAAACTTGACGGTCCTCGAGTATTAGCTACCCTTGCAATAGTGTTTAAATGAATGAAAGTAAAAGTAAAACATACCAACTAAAAATACGATAAGAGCTAAGCTTTGCAAAGTTCGAGCCGTGTATGTATGTATGTATATATATTTTTACACCGGGGGCACACCGTTTTTACCGTCCCAAAGACCACTATGTCGAAATCTCGATGACCGGCTCGGCCGTGTTGTTGTTATTGTTGTTGTTGAGCAGCAACGCCGGCTTGCCGGGAAGCTTGAGCCCGAAGCCAGCCGGGCTCAGCGGCGAAAGAGCCGGCTCCGACTCGCTCTCCTCGTCCTCATCGTCGAAGGGCCGCTTCAGCCCCGGCGGTCCACCACCAACCGGCTGCTGCTGCTGCTGCTGCTGCAAGTGGTAACCCAACGGGGCAAGTGAGTAGCCGACGGGCGCGTCACCCCCGTAAGTCACCTTCCCCATGAACGAGCGTATCTCGTCGAAGTAGGTGGCCGTCTCCTCGCGCTCGTTCTCGTTGCTACTGTCGGCCGAGTCGGCGACCGAGGCCAGTCCACTGCCATCGTCGGCCTCGTGCTTCTTGAGGTGCCGGTCCAGATTTGTCTGTTGGCCGAAGCACCTCTCGCAGAGCGGGCACTTGAACGGCCGTTGCTTGTCGTGGATGTTGCGCACGTGGCGCTGCAGGTTGCTCGATATGCTGAAGCTGCGCTCGCAGTACTTGCACTTGTAGGGCTGCTCGCCGGTGTGGGTGCGCAAGTGGCGGGTGAGGTTGGCCGAGCGGGGGAAATTCTTGCCGCAAAACTTGCACGAGTAGCGGTCCTTGAGCTTCGCCGCGAAGGGCCCCTGCTGCGGCGAGCCCTGATGGTGGTGGGGCTGTTGTTGTAGTTGTTGTTGTTGTTGCTGCTGTTGTCCGCCTCCGAGCATCGAGTCCGGAAAGGCTTTGACAGCGGGAAAGCTGGGCGCCAGGGGCCCGTAGGCGGGGTTGGCCGGCCTCGCGGCACCCAAGCCGTTCATCATACCGAGAAAGGGCAGTCCCCGCGATCCGAACGAGGCCATGGGCTGGAGGAGCCGGTGCTCGTGCGGCGACCCGGGAAAGCCGGGAAAGGGACCCGCGGGCCCACCTCGGTACATCGACTCGAGAAACAACGGATGGATGGGCCGCGGGTAGGCCATGTGCGGCGCTGGTCCCGGTGGTAGCGGGGGTGGCGGAGGCGGTGGCGGTGGAGGCGTGCGCTCGACCGGCTTGGCCTCCCTCGCTGCATTCACCGGTTCCATCACGCTCACCGGACTGGGCGCGGGTTTTTCAACGACCGGCGGTGGCGTCGGCGTCGCCCTCCTCCTCCTCCGCTTCCTGGCGCTACCCTCGGACTCGGGCTCCGGGCGCTTTGCTTGCACGCGCAGGTCCAGGGGCTGTTGTTCCCGCTCTCCCTCCTGGTCCTCGTCCTCATGCTGTAGCTGCTCGTCCTCTTGCTGGTTGCGCTTGCGCTGCTCGGGCTGTTGGCGCGCGGGGCTGGCGCGCTCCTCGGGCTCCTCGGCTGCCGGGGGCTCGGGTTTCCTCGGCTCTGGCGGGGATTCGTCCGCCACCGGGGGCTTGGGCGGGAAGAGGAAGGGCAGCTGGCCCAGGAAGGAGCTCGTGTACGAGCTGACGAGGCTCGGCGGGTAGAAGGCCGGCATGGGCTGCCGGGGGAAGAGGAAGGGACTCGGGTGGCCCTGGTGCGGCATACCGGCGAGGGCCGCGACGGCCGAGGACGAGGACGGGGGTAGGAGCGGTGGAGGCGGGGGTGGCGGCTGCTGGACCCGCGCCAATTGTTGCTGCGACGAGGACGACGAGGGTGGACAGGGAGAGGAGGAGGAAAGGAGGGCGGCGGCGGCGACGGAGGTGGGACTCGGGAGGGTAGAGTCGCAAAAGCGCTTGTGCTTCGTGAGGGAGGTGATGGTGCTGAACTTGGCCTTGCACTTGCTGCAGGTTATCTGGGAGCGGCACTTGATGTGCATGCGCTTGTGCCGGCAGAGATTCGAGAATTGGGTGTAAGCCTTGAAGCAGACCTCGCACTGGAAGGGCTTGACGCTGCTGTGTATGTGGGTGTGCTGCTTGAGGCCCGAGCTCTTGGCGAAGGTCTTGCCGCACTCTGTGCAGGCGTAGCTACGGGCGCCGACGTGGTGGGCCCGTATGTGGCGCTGCAGGTTCGACGGGTCGGTGAAGACCTGCGGGCGGTCCGGCTGTTAGCGAATTTTTGAATAGGTGAGGCTCGGCCTGGGCCAGGTGGGGCTGTGGCGCGTGGCACCCGGCCCAGGCCCGGGGTTACGTACCTTGGCGCAATTCTCGCAGGGGTACTTGCGCACGTCGCCGTGGACGAGCGCCCGATGGCGAATGAGCAACAGCCGCCAGGAGTAGCCGTTCGGACAGCTGAGACAACTGTACTTGCGCGCTGGGTAACAGTGGCAGTTGATCAGGTGGTTGTTTAATCTGAAACAGAAACGCGACGTTTATTTTAGTTTTGTTTCTCTTTTCCAATGATTTTTTTTTTTTTTTTTTTTTTTTCTTTTTCTACTTATGACATTAATCTTTCGTCACGAGACCTAATCCATGCGCGGTGAATCTATATTTGTAAAATTACACCTTTTAAGCGTGTCATTCCTACTTTATTTTTCATTTAAAATGCATCGTGGTAGGGTGCTCACGAAACAATTGTAACAGCTCTACCGAATGAATTAATTTTTTTTTTCTGCAACAATTAACACAAAAGGACTGCAGAAAGAGCCGTATATTCTCAATTCGTATGTCATAAAAAAGAGCAATTTCAACTACACGCTTTGAACGTGTGTAAGTGAACAAACTTGGATTTACGGTGTACAAAATATATATGTACTTGCAATTAACCGTAACAACTTATCGTTTACCTGTCGCACTTTCAAGTACACGGCAAAACGCGATCGAGCACTGGCAATAGGGTGCTCATTTAACAAGTTAAACGCATCTATTGTGGCACGCATGAGGGGGTTGCATGGCAAACGCAGCAGATACCTCCCGAAGCGTGCCGTAAGTCACGCCAGCTCATCGCCGAGTATATCGTATAGTATCGGCTCATTGGCCGCCAATTTTGGCCTATTGTTCTCGGTAGCCCCGTAAAATATATCGGTGCTCCGAGAAATCGAATTAAACATTGTTACTCGTCCCTCGTCAACCCGCGCAATCACAAAAATCGTTTCAAACAAAAATTTTATTGAAATCATCCAAACCATACACCCTCCCTTTCCAAGCGCCTATACACATGAATTTCCCGCACACGACAAAAGGGTAGTACATGTACTTTCCTCGGCAAAAAAAAAAAAAAACCCCATAAAACGTATGTGACGATCCACAAAGAAGCACACATCTAAAAATACATATCGTATAAAAACGATGACGTTGCAAATCAATCGCGCTCCCGAGCGTGAGAAAGGCCGTAAAAGCGGGAAAAAAAGGCAACCTTTGTAGGTGAAAATCACGCACACGGCAAATAAGGGCGAGATGAGCGCTTGACTTTTGTACCGATGCGTAAGCAGACGCCCCCGCGCAACACGCGCACCCCACCGGAGGGGGTTCGCGTGATCGGCGACGTACGTATACGCGTACAGCGGTGGGTAAAGCAATAATAACAAGAAGGGTACGGGGTAAGCGAGAGTCGCGCGCACGCGTTCGCCATTCAGTAGATTTTCGAGTGGATAACGACGGGCTCTGGTTGCTCCGATGGTTCCGCCACCGCCACCCTATACACACGTATGCACTCCTACGCCTCTAAACTAATAATTGACGTTCGAGTATTGCCGACACGCGCTTCGCCCGACCAACATATCTCTCCGGCATCTCTGCGTAATCGTGCACACGCGGGGGGACTTATTGTCCGCCATCCGCGCCGCTGCTTATATGCGTAATTGCCGTGCAGGCACGCGCGATTCACGGACTGATTTTCACGAGAGCCCCTTTCGTTACACAATGTGCATCGATCTGTGTTGGGCGTTGCTTGTTTCATTGTCTTCGCTCTGCCGCGTATTGTTGCTCCAATAGTGCCTTTTAGCACTAAACCACTTGCCCGCAAATTGATACATTTTTTTAACCGTATCTATTGTGGTTTCGGTTGATCCTTTCAACTCTACCAGTTACACTATCTTTATTATTATAGTCGGACTTGGGCACTTACAATCATTTCACGGATTTTTACACACTTGTTTTTTCCTTATTGACGTGTGCATTCTTTTTGCCGAAAAAACTTTATCCATCACTATTCACAATGCAATATTTATATATATATACATATATNAGTGTGTAATGCGTAAACAATAATGTAACATATAATCAATGCTGTTATATTGTAACTTATATAATGAAAAATAAGGCTTACTCTACAAAGTCAATATGTACTTGATTACAGTAAATGCCGAAGGATAAATACACTACGTTAGTAGTTGTGTATTTAAAAAAAAAAAAAAAAAATTGTCAAGTGATAGTTAACCGTGCTGTAAGTGGTAACTAAAAATAATTTCTTAAGAATAAATGATGTATTACATTTTTAGAAAAAAATTGAAAAAGTATCCGTGCTCAAGTCTGCTTATAGTGCTTTCTGTGTAATCAAACATTCATCTCGATCATTGTGCAGTAATCAATATAGTAATAGTTTTATTTAATCAAACAGTGCAAAGATCGACAGTCCCAAATTTTGTTCATCTTGTCGTTTCTACCCTAAATTGGTTACCTTCGGTACCAAAAATAGAGAAGTCATGATCCGTTGAAAAAGTGTGAATTAAATTTAAAAAAAATGTTACCAGTGGGTACAGTGTATGTAAAATAGATAAATGACAGATAAAAATATAGACTCACAACTCGATATCCTGATACGGCTTGTCGCAGATTGTACATCTTGTGTCCCCATCTTCGTCTTCCTCTCGATCTTCGTCAGCGTGGGAGGCTCCACTGTGTTGCGAAGCTGAAAACCAAAAGGATTCCTCGTTTAAAATCGCACATCCGAAAAGTCAAGTCACCCGGACGACGTCAACCGTACCGTAAAGCAAAGAAAACAACCACGAGGGTAAGTTTTCGGAAGGATGAAAAAAGTAGCGGAGCTGTTGGGATCGGGCCCATCGGACCTGCGATCCGACACACTCGAACCACCGCGAGAGACAATAACAGAGCAAAGCCGGCGATGCTCCAGTTTAAAGGTGAGGACGTCAAGGAGCCCCCGAGGGACTATATTGCCCGACCGGAAGCTCGTCGCGCTATTGGCTGCGGGGGTCGAGCGAGCCGTCGACCAATAGCCGCCCTCGAAACAACAGCCCCCGATTTTCCTCTTTCACCCTCCTCCCCCCCCCCGTTGACACGTTGCTCCACTGCGCCCTCGCACCCCACACTGTCACGGCTGCAGGTGAAATCAGGAAGTCAGGGATACGTCGCTGACGGCGCGGGGGGTCATTACTTACGATGCCGTCCCATCGCAACGCTTCGTCTTTCCTACACCTACGTGTGGGGCTACTCGGAGCCGTGCGATACCACCTTAGGGAGTTATGTTCCCACCGCCTGCTGCTCCCTCGTATACGAACGAAAGACCGGGACATCGCGTGCGATGTCGTTACCTATACGCCGTGTATACGTATATATGTGTGTGCAACCCAACTAAGTTCTCGCAAGCGCTACTTGCCGCATCCACCTTGAATAACAATCGTGCGAAAATTCGACCCTCGATTTCAATAAGTGCGCTCTTTTGCGATCTTTGAACTAAATTTTTTTTTTTTTTTTCTTCTGGATGAAACGCGACGACTCTAAATTTATCTATGGGCTAGGGTTGCCCTTCTCCCTTGTAGCGACTGTGCCTCGGATTAATCCGAGAACATCAAACACGATTTTTTAACGTTTTTTGTTTTTACGTTGTCGTAGTTTGATAGGGTTTGTAGGATTATTTTTAAGTTTTCGTGAGAATCACGATATCTTGATATTCGAGAAGATTTAAGTAGGTACAGTCTGTGTTATTTTAAATGTTTTTCTTGCGTTGTACATATATTCAGATCCATAACTCGCAATTTTTTTTTTTTTTAAGTTGTTCTGACTGTATAATTTGTGCTAAAAGACAATGTTCAGTAATTTCGGGTTGGAATACATGAAGCTTGATGAAATTTCAAAAGGGCATCCAGCTAAAGTTTTTTTTATGCGTTTTGTTTAAAAATCAATTTTATTTTTAAAAAGTAGCACTTATTTGACCACTCCAAGTTGCATGTGTATGCTTACGAGAATCTTTTAAACAATGTTGTTTTCAAGATAAATTATGAGACTTAAAATATCCAACAGCATATAAATATTACGTGAAGGAATAAACTTGTAAATTTCAAGTTCAAGAAAAAATTTGCTTTTTTTGAAACGGCTTGAGTTATAAAACTGTAAATTATTTTCATTTATGTACTTTTAGATAAGAGATTGCTACACATTAAAAGCATACTTAAAAAATCTCCATCTATAGATACCTTATTTGATTTAGGTGCTGTGTTAAATCGATAAAATATATTGTATAGGAGTAAAGGGAGCCAGTTGATCGTATTGAAAAATTGTATATTAACTAGTCCATGTATTGGTACAGGGGCAGATTAGCGATCGTATAGGGTTGGTTGAGCATTACTAGAACCTCTATACTGGATATAGGTGCTACGACTAAAAAAAATTTTCGATAAACAGCTTCATTAGATATGGAACTCATTCGTGCAACAAAAAAAGTAGTTTCACCCTTCTACGAGCAAAGTACATTTTTAGTGCAAGAAACAATGGGATTTTTGTACGTATATAGCTGAGACCGATCAACGAAAATAAAAAATTCACAAAACTTTGGGAAAGATGAAATGTTCAAAATAGACGAAGAAACTTGAAATCGACCCTCTGTTTTTGCTCGTACTGACATGTAACTGTAACTTAATTATCCTAAGCTATACAGTTTGTCTTCTCAATAACTAATTTGTAATGGCCCAACCGTATACCGATAATATTATGCTTCCAGTACTTTCGTATCTCGATAGCTTGATCAATTGTACGAGAAAATGATATTAAAGAATAATATTGTGCATCACCGCTATCGATAAATCATACGCTCAAAATCTGTCCGAGTTCCACAATTGAACAGACAGATTGACGGCAAACGAAATTTTAATACGCCCTCCGCGTGTGTACATGGGTACATAGCGTATCGAATTAGCTTGGTGTACCAATATAATACGTATACTGCGCCACCAACGAGTATATGTATACATACACGCGCGCAGTAGGTGTACATAATACGAAGCGGGCGTCATACGATGGGGCTGATGCGGTAAATTTACAAGATAAGAGGGAATACATAAGTGGGCGTTCACGAGGCTATATGTGCATACGCGTATACAGGTATACACCGAGCTCTCGCGCCAACGGTTATTTAAATCTGCCGTTGGTGCACTTGCCCGGCAGGGGTAGCTTCCCGCGCGGAGCCATATGGCTCGTCCTACCCCCAACGGACCTTCATGGGAACTGGCCGCACCGCCGAGTCAACTATACCTACTCTCCGACTTGACTTCCGATCCGCTGTCCCTCAATACGTGTGCGCGCCGACCTATCCCCCCCCCCTTGTACTCTGCCAACGGTATGTATACACGTACGACGCACTAATCGCTCGTATATATGCCCCACACTGGATACACACATATATTATACACATGTATGTATACACATGAATATGTAATACCACTTCTGATAAATACATAACATATTAGTATGTATAATATAATATACGGTCTCAGGGAAACCGCAATTAATACGTGGGTATTCGTGATGCGATGCCAGTGCTACACTTTGGGGATGATTACGACGCCTATGTACTTATACGTAATCATATGCATCCAGCGTGCGAAACTACACAGATGTCCGCACTTTTTTTTTTACAAACATCAATCAATGAAACTGCCTTGGAGAGTTTTGGGTGGAACTGCGAAAATTTTAATGTCCAACAATATTGGTCATCTCGAATGATTTTAGAGCCAAGTAATTAGTAATAAATTCAAAAAAATGTTATTTTTTCAAAGTATTTAATACTAAAATCCTCCTATGGATAACATTTCTCTATGAAAAATTGAAGGTAAATAATAATTAATTGCATCAACAACAACACCTGAGAGATCAACATCGAAATCAGATACACGTGGGGGGGGGGGGGTGCACGTATATGATTAAATACGTAGACCCAAAAGCGATGCTCATTGCGTGTGCGGCAACGGTGCCGCGAAAAGTCAACAGGTGGTATCTAACTGCGGAACACCCCCTGCGGTCAAGTTCAGTCAGTTGGTCGGCAGGGCATGGGAAAAAGTAACGGTTTCGTTCGTCGCTTCGTTAAATTGGGTATTACCCTTACAGTGTGCGCTAATCTACGCGTTCACAACGATTGACGTAGCCCCATCGGTATAGAGTCTTGATTTGGCGTCGAGACGCGATACATGGTCCGGGAGAAATTAGAAAATGTGACTTCTGACAATCGCTTAAACCTTTTATCATTATGAACTGTCAGCATGTTGAGATAAACCCTTTTTTTTTCTTCTCGTAACTTCTTTAATAAGTTAATACATTTAAACTGCACAAGGATATGATAAGTAACAAAAGTTTAGCGCGCCGGGATCGGTGCAAAAAGTAGCCAAAGGGGTCACGCGTATAATACACACGAGAGCGTGTGCGGCTGGGCGGCACATGCAGTCGCGTCATTAGGCCGATTTTTCGATGAATCAGGCCAACAACTGTGTACCGTATTGTACATATTATGTCTATGTATATGTACACCACACGCGCGCGCCAAACCAAAAGAACGCGTAATCGTAAACGCGAGCACACGCCTGCCCGGAGTCACCCCCTCGGATAGTAGTGTCGCGTGCCCTTTTTTTGTGAGCGAGCCCCGGTAGGCCGTACCATACATATACATATATAAACATGTACGTATTATGTATTAAAATACAAACTACCTATACCCTTTTTTTTTTTTTCTCGATACTTTTTTTTATACCGCACCCCTTCTCTCTCGCCCCTCTGTAATATCTGTTGTCATCCCGGCGCGCGATCGTCCCGGTTACGCGTGTTATGTATACCATAGTCGACAATGAGAGTCATAAATTATCGAGGAGCCTAATAGAGACGTGTTACGCCGCGACGCGAGATAAACCCATGTACGTAGTGAAACTGGGGCCCCCTCCTCGACGCGCGTGGCTGGAAAATCGCCCCGATCGTGATTTGCACTGGGCTCTCTGTGAATATATTTTTACGACCTTTTTTTTTTTTTTAATCACACGGACCACATTTTTTGTGGGCGGCCTTTTGCGAGTGACTAATGAAACCAATGACTCGTGTCACACAGATGAGGGGGGGAAGAAGGCGTGGCACTGTCGAACTTTTTTTTTTTTTTTTTTTTTATTTATCCACACCATTTATTCAGTGGGTAGATTGGTGATTATACAAGTATGACCAAATACGCGCTGGATATAATCGAGAAGAGTAGCATTCGATTGTTTTAATGATAAGCAGGAAGCCAACACGAGCTGCTTCAAGGACAGATGTATACCTCGCGTGGAGTATAAAAAAAAAAAAAAAAAAAAAACATCCACGCAAGTACATCGTCCAAGTATATATTCGTATGGTCCGTGACGTCTTTTGTATACACACGTACGAGGCAAAGAGAAACAAAAGCAATGTACACGTATGATCACAACCACCCCGAGGAGTAATGTGTGTAAAAAGGCGCGTGGCACAAAATAATGTATAAATATATACGCAAGTTGAAGCGGCGTGTTCGAAATATTATACCAGCACCACCAAGGCCCGAGATCGACATTTTAATGCACAAACACGCACGGACGTATGGGGCACAGTAGTCTCCCAGTCGTGTATTGTGTCTACACACGGTGTGTATTGTACATATTATACGCGTTAAAGCGATCATTCTCTCTCTCTCTCTTCTCCCTGGGATATCTGATGCGTCTTTGCAACTCGCTTCGGCTCCCGCCATGGACTTTCGCCGGAGCTCAGGCAAATGGGGAATCCCCGCTCGCAGATGTCACTCCCTCCCTCCGTTTTCGCTTCTTCCAGCCGGGTTTTCTGCGCAAGGGTTGCCTCCCGTTTGACATCATTATTCCCATTGTCGCCTTTTTTGCCCATCACCACTTTTGTCCCGTTCCTACTTTAATTTCCGCGATCGATACCCACCCGGTGTGCGCTTAAGTTGTTACATACGAGGCTAACTTTTGTCACGAGTTGCGTTTTAAATTACATTAGCCCCGAAGACTCGCAAAGACATTGCTTGTGGCAATTTTTCGGTTGCTTCGAATTATAGTGCGACAGTATCATTTTTACAAAAGTTCTCCATTGCCTCAAAAACGTGGTGGTTTCTCAAGATTAAATAGTTGGCGATTCGTAGGTAATAACTGGACGCGTACCTCGTATGCCCGATTCATCACACTTTTAATAAATTTTCGGATGGTCCAAAAGTTCCACGATTAGCCGGCAACTAATTGGAGCCGAGTATATAAGAGCCTCCTCCCCCCCACGTAATTGCGCGCTCGACTTTACGAGCCGATGTTAATTTTAATTTAAAAACTCCCGGGTAGAGAAGGAGGGTGGCAGGAGAATAAAACAATATCCTCGGGCGGAATAATAAAATGATAAGAAGACCAGAAGGAAGGAAGGGCGAGTGGGAAGTAAGACGCGGGAGAGAGAGAGAGAGAGAGAGAGGCAAGCGTAAGAGCAGTTGAGCCCCGGTTGTTTTAATTACTGCAACATCTGGTTATCGCGTGCGATTCAACCTCGTCTCCTCCGCCCCGTAAACCTTACGCCACCCGGCAAATCATCTCCCTCTCTCTCTCCTCTTGAAAATTACAGCCAGATAACTAAGCGCAAGTACATTATTTGTGTTTATATATGTATACATACCGAGCGCGCCAAACGACACTTTGAAGCTCGTTCGAGGAGGCGCTAATGAAATCCCGTAAAGTAGCTTTAGGCAACTGTAGCCGGCAGTGCGGCCTTTTCTTTACTTTTCTTTCGTTGCACGGCTTATAGGGTCTATGTATGAAAATTGACACGAGTCTGCAGGGTGTACGCCAATAAAATGTTTCAAAGAAGAAAATAAAATAAAATATGCGCGCGTAAGTATATTTAAATAACGGAGGTAGGTATACATAAAAAAAAGGGTGTAATGGAACAAACGGAGAGGCAAACGCGGGCAATCGTTGGAACAACGTTACGTACGGATAAACCTATATATATCTGGCCCCTTTCGGGGATGGTCTGGGAGATAATGAGGCGGGGGTTCGTTTGGTGGACTCAACGGACACAGCCACGTTATGGCCAGGTGAATCACGTTGGAGTGTCGTATGGGCAGGGGCCCGTGACCGGGGGGTCGTTACGTGTACGTGTGTATATGTATGCTATTTACGAGATTCACGCAACAGCCAACTCGCGTGCGGACAGGATTTCCTCAGCACCTGTGTCCGCACTCGTTATACACCGCGTGGCAGCGTGTTGGAGTCAAACTCTCGGCGATTGGTGCCACCCCCCCCCCCCAGCTCGTGTATACGCGTATTGAGGGTATAACGCGAATCGTTGGCTTACCGTACTCGCTCGTGTTCTCGTCTTCGTTTTTTAGCCGTCGTTGCTGGCCCAGTGGCTCGAGGAGGGACACCAGCGACTCCTTCGCCGCGATGCTCCGCACCGCCTCGACGTACGTCTGAAAAATCAAGGTTTCTCGATTGTTAGGTGGCCCAAAGAGGCTTTCGGGTTAAAAAGGCTACATCCCTCTGATTCTGGTGTTTGCAAACAATGGAGTTATTATCATCTACATTTTTTCGATATTTGTGAGAGCAGTTTAGCCATTAAATACGTCCTTGTGTGTAATTGTTAATTTTATTTTACTAACTTATGCAAATGAAAAATGTCGGGTTACCATCTAGTTGATGAGATTTTTTTGCTGGTATTACATCTGATATATTTACATTAGAAAAAATGATTTTACCAGAAAGGGTTGTTATTTATTTCAGAAGAAGTGAGGAAATTTTTGATTTATCGAGTAAGTGGTACGGAAAGAAAAAACTTACGTTTCCATCCTTATCCTTGACTTTTTTCACGTTTATTTCATCAGGATTCGTCGACACGCGAATCCTCCAGTCTTTAGATTCATCGAACGAATCCCTCTCCAGCTTCCACGAGTACAGCGCCTGGTGATCATAAATAATGGTCATTTAAAACATCTGTGGGACATGATAATTTACAGTATTTATGAGAAATATGTTTTTTTTTTTTTTTACAATATTATTGAAAATTAAAATCACTACAAATCATCTCTCGTACAGAGACGTGATGATCATGTAAACGTATACATCAATTCGTGAACTCTCCGTTTCGGATGAAGGTACAAAATTTCATGTATTTTAAAATTGATCTCTTGAACATTTCTGGTCAAATGTAAAAATACTTGGATTCGTCGTGCCACATTTTAAACAATTTTGTCCGGTTATTAATAAATACATTTTATACAAGGAGTAAGTAAGCCGAGAAAAAAATTAATTGAATAAAACGATAGTTGGGTCTCCCGTCATTCGATTGCAGCCAAACAAACGCTCTCGATCATAATTGCAAGAGAGAGGGTAGGGGCGAAATAGGTGAAGAGCCCCCCCCCCCCTTTTTTTTTTTTTTTCTACGCCTCGACGAAAAGAGAGCGGAAGCACTAATGATGCACGGTATATTAAATACATGGAGCGTCGATGCAAGTACATGACAATATTATTTTCTAAAGACAGGCCCGATATAATACGTAGGCATGACGGAGACACTTGATTCTCTCTCACAGTTAGGCACAACAACGGAGGCGACAATGGACGACACACCCCAAGCAAAAACTGCACGACGAGCGTTAATGACTCTGGTCTCTGTATATGTACCGTGCAGCTAATTTCCGTGCTCCCATATATATCGGCTCTCTCTCACTTGTGGCTTCCCATTGAGCGCACGGGGGGAAACGGTACCCAACACACATATATATATATACAGCTCGTACAGGCCGATCGGCCGAGGGGAGCCCGCAGAGACGCATCGCGCCCTCGCCGGCGGACAAGTGATTCTTCAATTGTCTTGCGGGCGCGTCGCATGGCCACCCAAGCGTCTCCAACCCCCGAAATACCCCCACCCCCTATACATTGGACGTTTGTGACCTTCTCTCTCGTCGATGAACAACTTTCATTGTTGTTGCGTAACATCGCGGACAAAGTGTGCACGAGTACATAAGTATAATACATGGAGCTGAATATTGCTGATCGATGTCACCCCTCGGCGTGAAATTTAATTGGTTCTGTATTATCATCGATGTCGAGGACAACCGTATCAGTGCATATGATACAACGCGGGCGAGAGAGATGAGGCACCATAACAATAAACGTATCGGGGGCAAGGTGCGTTTAGCCACACGCGTAGATGTATTATACATATATATATATATGTATTTGCACAGGCCGTTCCTTCCGAGGGTATATATTATATATATATATATATATATACATACACACAGTTAACCAACTAACTCG